GCGTCACACGCAACTGCAATACTAACGATTTTAAAGAGGCAGCGTTCACCTTTACCTTTAGGCGATAAATTTAGATTTTAAATTCAATATTGATTTATGCATAACTGTTGAACTAATTTGCACTATGTAACGCAAGTACATTATAAGTAACTGTAATTAAAATACCTAAAAATGAACAGTAATCCCTTACTTTACTTATTTAGTGGATAAGTATTTTAATTACAGTAACGCGTTACTTTGTAACGCGTTACACCCAACACTGCACGCACACACAAGCCTTTCCCTTCCCCCACACATCGGAATGTGTGGAATGTTTTTGAACAAAGAGAAGGACTTTTGGTGTTTAAAAACATTCAACAAAATGTTTTCAATGGTTTTTATGTATATGTGTCTTCCCCATGTCACAGTGAAATAACTTTGTTTGGTCACAGCGTAAATAGAAATTAAAAATACCTTCGTCATGCATTTTAAACATAAGTGTATATTCCTTTGATATAATGTTCCTTGATATCTCTAGAATGCTTATTGAATGAAACGCTCGAATATGCATGGAGATGTAAAGTAAAGGGTATTTTTGATTGTTTTACTGCCAATGAAGATCAAAATTGTTTTACTATAAAACCCTCATTGAACACACCCCCTTCCATGAGAAGCGCGCGCTGAGGAACAAAGGACAATAAACCAAGAGTTCCCGCGAGCTACGTCCATCTCCCCGATTGGCTCAAGCCAACAGGAAAGGGATGGATTCCGCCAAGGGGATAAAAGGAGTGCACAGGCTCCGCCTCCCCCTTCTTTTTCTGACCCCCTCAGAGAAATATGAAATGCTTTCGAGATCTCCTCACGGAGATCTGATCCGACCATGGATCTTTTCTTTTGTTCGTCTAAAAGTCTCGTCTTTTCCTCAAATGGACTGCCAAGTTCGTCTCACAGGAAAGGAAGTGGACTTTGCCGAACTATTTCCTCGGGTAACGTCACCTCAAAGACTTTAAGCCTTTCAAACACTCGCGCTAAATGCCAACGAACGCCACGTGACTCCCCACGGAACAAAGGAGCCATGAACGAGCCGGGACGGGCCGCGCAAACACGCTGCGGCCGCGCAAACACGCTGCGGCCGCGCTCCACGTGACCCACGCGCTCAGGACAGCACCTCCAGTCGACACGTGGCCCTAACGGGCCGAGCAACGAGCCCGCGACTCACACAGACCAAATATGCCCTGCAAGTATACCTTCTGTTAGAGCTTCTAAGAAGCATTAAGAAAGTGTTTTCGTGGTGTTCAGAAACTAAGGTTAACTGACTGTTTTGATGAACGTAACTTCCTCTCTCACAACTCACTCTCTCTCTCTCTCTCTCTCTCTCTCTCTCTCTCTCTCTCTCTCCAACTCACTTAACTTACGCGTATCCATTGTCTAAACGCTCTGCGTCGTCTTAGTTTGTGTTTTAATGTTTGTAAATACATGTATCCTTGTTTGTAACGTAGTAAATGCTCAAGTAGTAACTTTATTAAATACAAAATATGCTTACCTTGACTGATTGTCTTGCTCATAAGGCGTAAAAAAAAAAATTGTTTTCCGGTTTCCGACCGACCCTGTCAATTTATGTGCGACCCAAAATTATTTTATGAGCTTGGGGAAGAAATAATAAAAATTAAATAAATACACAAATAAAAAAACTCTGAGGCGAACTATTAATTTACATTTTTGTACAGCTCCGTCTTTTTATAGCACGCGCTGTAAGATGCATCTTGTCCTCCAGCAATCTATTAACAAACGAGGCAGATGTCGTTCGTCAAACTGAACTATAATACATATTATACAAGTCTTTTTTTGTAATTTAGGATATTTTTATTCATATTCGCACACATACAAATACATGCATTCATAGGCATGCACACACCACATACTAATACCTCCATCCGCCTAGTTTTATTAAAAAATCATCCTATCATGATCCAATCATGATCCCAATCCCATCTTCTGCTGTCTAGCACTTCTTTCGCCATGTATTTGTTCGTTTCTTTCATTATTTTATGCAATCCAAAACACTCTAACCTGCCGCGGTTTGTATCTCTAGAGCCCGTCTAACTTGTCCGCTTTTCCCCGGGACAAATGGATTTTTGAAGGACAAGTAAAAGAGAATTTTACTCGCCCCAACGGACAAGTAGCCTGATTAGAACATCAATAACAAACTAAAAATTAATTAGGGAATCACTAAACCGAGAGAATGATTCTGATTTTATTACATTTATTGCAAGTTGCGATCGATTGTGGATAATAAATGTAGCAGGCCTACTGTATTACTGATGGTAAGGTTGCGCTGTTGACGCTCGCGCAGAGAAATCTACACACATGAGCGGAGCACACACACACAGTTAACAACATACTCTGCCTATAAAAAATCTAAATGTGGAGTTTTTATATTTTAACATATGTTAAGCACAAAGAAGCCTCAATTATTTTTTCCTGAATACCATCACGATTGAAAAAGTGACATTGATTTCCTACAACAGTTCAATAAACAGTTAAGATTAAGTCACTTACTTTTTATAAGCAATATTGGGTGTTTTTGTTCCATTTCAGCAGCGAAAATAGTTCCAAAGAAAAGTCACAGCAGAACCACGACGCATCTCACAGGAACTCAGCATTTTGAACGAATCGGTTGAGTCAAGGATTCAATGACCCATTCATAAACATCAACATCTGTCTCTCATTCTTGAATGAAACAACCGTTTGAACGAATCGTTTGAATTATGAATCAATAACTCACTCATTTATACGGCCGCCTGCCGCCACCTATTGGCAGTTTATTGTTATGTTTATAAGTAGCCTAGTATAATTCTTTCTAATATTTCTTATTTGCACATTTAAATCAATTTCATAACATTATTTTATGAAATTGTAATTTTTCAGTGTAAATGATTTAATTTCATCAGCCCTACCTAGGGTAACAGTATGCTTCATCTTTCATTTTAAATTCCTAAATTTGATCAATAAATTCAATATTTGAGAATAATAAGACACTATAGGGCATTTAATAATATTGGTGGAGGGGATGCCCTTAAAGGTGCAGATATTACAATTTGCCTTTTTAAATATCAAAGCTGATTGAACACTGATGAGAATATTGCTTCAGAATAAAAAATAAATAAATTTTAAAAATCCGGACAAGCAACTTTTTTACTCGGACAAGTGATTGACAGATTTACTTACTTGTCCGGAGGACAAGCACGTGAAAAGGCTTAAGGGGATAGTTCACTTTGAAATTAATTTTTGATATGTTTTAGCTTAACTCAAGGGCATCCAAGATGTAGGTGTCTTTGTTTCCACAGTAGTTTCAATTTTGATATTTTTAGGTTTGACTATCCCTTTAATGCCGAGCCCTGAATAATTTCCTACCCATGCTGCCACTGAAAAAAAAAAAAAAAAAAAAAAAATCCCCTACCGACCCATGACCTCAACTGACAACCAACCGGAACCAAACTTTTTTTTTTTTTAGGCCTAATACGGGTCAATGAAATGTCAATTTAATAAGCTACACGCTTTACAGAACTACAAATACCTAAGAGGGTATTTGGTTATAGAGCAGGGAAGGCAGATTCTAGTGGCCACAGAATTTGTTTTCACAAGCTATATAACTTAATTGAGCTAATTGATAATAATAATCTTGTAAAACGTGGTCCTTGCAATTAATAACAATTAATTTGTGGTTAATTGCGGGGATGCACATGTATGCATATGGGTAAAATTAATAAATTAATATGTAAGACCGGTCTGATCCAAATCTGTATGAATAATTATTAATTATGATATGCAAATTCCCCCTTTATCAGACCCGACCAGAGTCTTTACATAGTTTTTTCCTCTCTCTCATCAAAACCAAATATGTTCATCAGTGGTTACAGTCTATATCAAGCAGGGACACATTTATGTGCATTTTATTTTGTGATTTCATCGGCGATAGATTGAAGAGTGCGTCCGAGTGAAGAACTAACCTGTTCTGTAACCATTTAACTTAAATTAAATGTATTTGAAAGCTGGCCAAAGCTTGGCATTTTGCACTTTTTATTTTTGTATGAAGATATAATGTAATAGCAAAATACATTTAATTTGTTGTGTTTCTTTTTTTTAAATTGTATGTCTACTGCAATACTGTTTTTGCAAAAACTACAATAAAACCTGTTGGAAAGCATCTTTTGCAGTGATTTTTGTGTGAGCATATCAGTGAACACCCCAGACCCCTCGGTGAGTTTCACGTCTTAGTAAACTAAAGTTTAATCCGTTTTATGAATGATTGTTCCAGTGTACATAGACAACCATTGTGTAGGTGGAGGGTGCTAACACACAAACCTAAAATTCTCGACACAGCAGCTTTTGTCCAAATTTCAATCTTAACCGTTCTATTTCATCAGAAACGATCTTAAAACAGGGCTTTAAGTGTAAAATACCGAACTAACCCTTTAAACTACAGAAGTACTCATAGAAATAAGCATTTAAATATATAATTACTGGGAGAAACTGAGGGACAACTAGTATATGATGTGGAGATATATGTATTTTATTTTAGTAGCCTGTTTTATAAAAATCTCAATGTTTTATCTATAACCTTTCAAAATTTCATATTACGTTTTGGAAATATAAATAACATCTATTCTGTACCAAATTACATTATTTCCCCCCAGTTTGGGTATATGAATAAAAAAATGCCATTTTTTCTACCTCAAGTATGAGTATGTGATAATATAATATTCTGTATAACAAGTCATACAAGTCTGGTGTATCATATGATACAAAACAATCATGCAAACATTTTTACAAGATATTTAATATTTTGTCTTAAATTGTCTCCACACACACACACACACACACACACACACACACACACACACACACACACACACACACACGCAGGTATAGCTTCATGTTTATGATGGGGAATAACTATTGAGATAAATGCATTTTTCAGATGAGAGTAAAACATGACAAAATATATAAAAAAGACTTACAGAGCTCTTCTGGAGGCTTTAATGACTGCCGATAATCTAATGAGACACTCGTCTGATTTCTTGAATTTCTGAAGCTCAAACTCCTCCAGCTCTTCCTCTGATGTCAACAACACAAAGACTAAAGCAGACCACTGGGCAGGTGAAAGGTCACCAGATGAGAGACTTCCTTTGCTAAGGTGGGTCTGAATCTCGTTCACCAGAGTTTGGTCGTTAAGTTCATTCAGACAGTAGAACAGATTGATGGATCTCTCTGCAGGAAGATTAGCTTCTAATTTCTGCTTGATGTACTGAACTATCTCCTTGTTGCAATGAACTATTTCCTTGTTCCTCTGGTCAGAGTCGTCTCTCTTTGTTAACAGACCTCGTAAGAGTCGTTGAACTATCCCCTCGTTGCTCTGGTCAGTGCCGTCTCGCTGTGTCAACAGACCTCGTAAGAGTCGTCGATTGGACTGGAGTGACAGACCGAGGAGGAAGCGAAGGAAAAGGTCCAGGTGTCCATTGTCACTCTCCAGCGCCTTGTCCACTGCAGTCTTGAGAAAATCAATCATGGTTTCATTTCTGTTTTCCTGTTCTGTAGACTCATGATCAAACACACTTGCCGTGTTGATGTCTAGAAACAGATGTGCATAAAGGGCTGCAATAAACTCTTGAATGCTCAAGTGAACAAAGCAGTACATGGTACCAAGAACGATCCCTGTTTCCTCCTTAAAGATCTGGGTACACATGCCTGAGTACACTGATGCCTTATAGACGTCAAGACCACAGGCTTCCAGGTCTGTGTCATAGAAGATCAGGTTGTTTCTTTCCAGATGATGAAATGCCAGTTTCCCCAGTGAAAGGATGGCGTCTTTATCCCAGGAAACATCTGGTGTGTATTCTCCATCATATTTCCGGCGGCTCTGCTGGATCTGAAAGCGGAGAAAGTGTGTGTACATTTGTGTCAGAGTCTTGGGAGTGTCTTCAGTGTTTGATTCCTGCAGTGTTTTAGAGATCTCATCAGCCTGAGTGTTTCTCACATCATTATTTCTCTTCTCCTCCAGAATCTTCTGGAGAACAGTGGCTGAAATCCAGCAGAAGACTGGGATGTGGCACATGATAAAGAGACTCTTTGATTGTTTAACATGATCTATGATTGTGTTGGCTTGAATATCATCCTTGAATCTTTTTCTGAAGTACTCTTGCTTTTGTGCGTCGCTGAATCCTCGTATCTCTGTCAGCCGGTCGATACAGTCAGGAGGAATCTTACTGGCAGCTGCTGGTCTGCTGGTGATCCAGACGAGAGCAGAAGGAAGCAGATTTCCCTTCATGAGGTTCGTTAGGAGAACATCCAGAGAGGCTGGTGACGATACATCACGCCACGTCTCATTACAATCAAACTTCAGAGGAAGGCGACATTCGTCCAGTCCATCAAGGATGAACAGCACTTTGAACTGATTCCTTCTTGTAAGGTTCAGTCCTTTTGTCTCTGGGAAAAACTGAGTTATAAGGTCCATCAAACTTAGTTTTTCTTTCTCCTTTAAGTTCATCTCTCTGAATGGAAGAGGAAATATGAAGCTGATATCTTGATTTTCTTTTCCTTCAGCCCAGTCCAGAACAAACTTTTGCACAGAGACTGATTTCCCGATGCCAGCGACTCCTTTTGTCAGTACAGTTCGGATCTCCTCGTCTTGTTCAGGCGCTTCAAACAAATGTGTGCATTCAACCTGTATCTCTTGTGCTTCATGACGTCTGGAAGCAACTTCAATCTGTCTCACCTCATGTTCAGTATTGACCTGTTCACTGCCACCCTGAGTGATGTAGAGATCTGTGTAGATGTTATTCAGGAGTGTGGAGTCACCTTGCTTCGACATTCCTTCAAACACACATTGATACTTCTTCTTTAGGCCACATTTCAGCTGATGAATGAAGAACAGCTCATCTAAACACAGGAACAGAAAATAGATAGTTTTAGTCTTCATTTCCTCTCCTACATTTATAAGAGACAATCAGACAGATGATGACGAGTCTCTTGCCTTCTAGAGCATCAGCAGCTTCATCTTGCTTCATCTCTCTCAGGTAATGTAGTGTGAGATCAAGAGCTGCTGATTTGATACTGGATCTGTTCTCATTAAAGTCCTTCACAAAGTGTTGTGTGTTCTCATGTTGTAATATTTTCTTTAACTTCCCCAGTTCATTCTTCAGAAATGTGATTATTTTGCTCTCAAGATCCTACAAACACAAGTAAGAGAAAAGACAGAATAACACAATTTAAGCCAAATTGTACATCTACATTTGATCAACACTATTTATTCAATAATTATAATACATCCAGTTAAAAGACTAATGTCACAGTCCTTCGTCTGCACCATCCTGTCTGCGTCTCCTGCACTACACTTCCCAGGATCCTCTTGTCTCCACACCTGAACTCACTCCCTCATCAGCCTCCCGTTCAGCGTCCTGTATTCATCTGTTTCACCTGTTTTCACCTCGTTTAGTTTGATTCCTGTGTGTATTTAGTTCCTTCCCATTCAGTCTGTCTTGGTTGGTCGATGTTAATGTCACCCTGTGTTTCGCCTGCCTGTTTCCTGTTAATTTGAGAATAAACCTTTTGTATTGGAGCTTTTCTGGACTCTGCCTGTTCGTCCTTCTGCTTGAACCCGCATCCGTGACAGATCGACCGACCCCCAAAAAAGGGATTAAAATGGATTTATCCGCTGTACAGCTTCTCCTCCTGGAGCAGGAGGATCAATCCCTCGAGGCCCACACACAGAGGTATTTGGATTTGGTACCTCATGTTCACTATGATGTTACCAGCCTCTGTGTGTTTTTCCGGGCAGGCCTAAATGCTGAAACCCAGGCACGCCTGCCCGGAGACGGGCCTCGAGGGGACTTTGCGGCCTATGTGGAGTGGGTGCTGGTGTCATGTGGATCTCCCTTTACCCTGTATGACGTCACCAGCCCCACTCCATCGCTCGAATGCTCTCCAGAGACTGAATGCTCTTCACCGCTGGTTCCGTCCAGCTCTCCAGAGATTGAATGCTCTTCATCGCTGGTTCCGTCCAGCTCTCCAGAGATTGAATGCTCTTCATCGCTGGTTCCGTCCAGCTCTCCAGAGATTGAATGCTCTTCACCGCTGGTTCCGTCCAGCTCTCCAGAGTCGGAATGCTCTTCACCGCTGGTTCCGTCCAGCTCTCCAGAGACTGAATGCTCTTCACCGCTGGTTCCGTCCAGCTCTCCAGAGATTGAATGCTCTTCACCGCTGGTTCCGTCCAGCTCTCCAGAGACTGAATGCTCTTCCCCGCTGGTTCCGTCCAGCTCTCCAGAGACTGAATGCTCTTCATCGCTGGTTCCGTCCAGCTCTCCAGAGATTGAATGCTCTTCACCGCTGGTTCCGTCCAGCTCTCCAGAGTCGGAATGCTCTTCACCGCTGGTTCCGTCCAGCTCTCCAGAGACTGAATGCTCTTCACCGCTGGTTCCGTCCAGCTCTCCAGAGATTGAATGCTCTTCACCGCTGGTTCCGTCCAGCTCTCCAGAGACTGTATGCTCTTCACAGCTGGTTCCGTCCAGCCCTCCAGAGACTGTATGCTCTTCATTGCTGGTTCCGTCCAGCCCTCCAGAGACTGTATGCTCTTCACAGCTGGTTCCGTCCAGCCCTCCAGAGACTGTATGCTCTTCACTGCTGGTTCCGTCCAGCCCACCAGAGACTGTATGCTCTTCACTGCTGGTTCCGTCCAGCCCTCCAGAGACTGTATGCTCTTCACTGCTGGTTCCGTCCAGCCCACCAGAGACTGTATGCTCTTCACTGCTGGTTCCGTCCAGCTCTCCAGAGACCGTCCAGCCAGCGCCAGAGACCGTCCAGCCTGCACCAGAGACCGTCCAGCCTGCGCCAGAGACCGTCCAGCCAGCGCCTGAGACCGTCCAGCCAGCGTCTGAGACCGTCCAGCCAGCGCCGGAGACCGTCCAGCCGGCGCCAGAGACCATCCAGCCGGCGCCAGAGACCAGGATCCCACCCAGCCTCCCTCGCCCGCCTCCTCTCATCTGTCCTCGCTCTGCTCTCCTGCCCTTCAGCTCCCCTGACCCAGCCTGGTCCTTGGATCCCCGGCCTTCGCCTCACACCTCCTCCTCAGAGACACTTCCTCGGCCCCCGGTCCCATCGGCTCCCCCGTGGCTGCTACCTCCCTCAGCTCCTCCATGGCCCCTCAGTCCACCAGCTCGTCCAGGCTCCCTCGACCCTCTGGATTCCCTTTGGTCCCTCATCACCCGTCCTTCACCTCTGGACTTCCATTTGTTTGCTTCGCCCCGTCATTTCACCCCCCCGCTTCAGTTGGATTCTTCACTCCCTCCAGTCACCCATCGGCCCTCACTCCCTCTGTCCTCACCGTGTCCCTCTGTACCCCTGTCAGCACTTCAGTCACCAGAGCCTGCGGTGTCCCCATGTTCCCACGGTCCCTCATCAGCTCCTCACGTCGTCTGTCCCTCAGCTGCACCCTGGTCTCCTTTCCCATCTGCTCCGCCCCTGTCAGTCGGCCCCCTGGTGTTGTCAGCCCCACTACCATCGGCTCCACCAGGGGTCCTCCCTCCAGCTGCTCCGCCCTGGTCTCGCCCTCAGCCTGCGCCGCCCTGGTCTCGCCCTCAGTCTGCTCCGCCCTGGTCTCGCCCTCAGCCTGCTCCGCCCTGGCCACGCCCTCAGCCTGCTCCGCCCTGGCCACGCCCTCAGCCTGAGCCGCCCTGGTCTCGCCCTCAGTCTGCTCCGCCCTGGCCACGCCCTCAGCCTGCTCCGCCCTGGCCACGCCCTCAGCCTGCTCCGCCCTGGCCACGCCCTCAGCCTGCTCCGCCCTGGCCACGCCCTCAGCCTGCTCCGCCCTGGCCACGCCCCGCCCAGCCCCCAGTTCGTCCCCCCTCCTTTTCTGGACTCTGCCTGTTCGTCCTTCTGCCTGAACCCGCATCCGTGACAACTAACATGCTAACCAAGTTGTGCTAAAATGTGTTCAATAACATATTTGTTTGTTATAAATATTAAATATTTATCAAATTTGTTTTCCTACCTCGAAGATCCCAAGAAGATTGTCTTTGAAATTCTTGTGTTTCCTGTGAGTCTGAAGGTCTGAGTCTAATGTTTCATATTGAAGCCTGTAATCACATTAGTAAAATAAAATACTAACTGATATTTTACAGAAAGAGAAATGAGCATTAGCTGTGAATACTCTGACAAATATTTGATCTAAACATATTTCATGATTGGTATTCACTGATAAAACTTTTAAACACAGTCAACATGTGACAAAATAATGAGCAACACAAAATACCTTTTATTAGATGATGGTGTTTTCTCACTGAAGTCTGGTACATCATCTTTAGACTGATCACTCTTCAGAGACACAGAGCTGGACACATGTGAGCCTGATCTTACACTGATGAAACAAAAATTAAACAGTTGAAAATTTTTAATGTTGCAAATAGTAAATAAATGCAGCCTTTTTTCATTATTTCAATTTGTTCATTAGCGAAACACCGTTCGGTATTTATGAAAAGGACCACTGGAGGAAAATAAGGGAGGGTCATGTCTTTTTATTCTTTGTTGAGGGTAGTGTCATCCAACTTTTTTTAGTCTAGGGGGAGGGTCACCCAACTTTTGCATTCATGAAAACAGCAACATTTCAAAGTGGCTTGTTTGGTGCATATTTTTTCCATGTAGCTCTCTCGGTCTCGGCCCCTCATTGCTATCAGATGGGTCTTACCCAACAAAACTCCAGTTTGGCACTGTTTGACAGTGCGCGTGCATGCCTCAGAAAAAGTGCATTAGAACAGAACGCCAATGAAATGTTTACCCGGCAAAGCTTTAAAGCACGAGCAAATAATGAGCTTTTGTGATTGCGAATAAGTGCAGTGTCCTGTGAGTGTAACTCTACCGCCGCATTAACACGTGATGTGAATGTACGTTGAGTTTTACAGTACTGCAGCTGATATAATGTGCGCTGTAGCACTATATATTTTAGTTTCCTAACATTATTGTGTTTCCAGAACAATGTAATAATGAGTAAATCTACTGAAATTACCATCATAACAGTGGAGTGTGATGTGTCAGCCGTAGGGCTACCACATTTTTAAATTACTATTAGTATTATTTGAAGTTAACATAATAAAATATACACAAACGCTTTCTTTAAAGTAAATTTCGTTTTTTTATTAATTGTATCTTAATTTTAATCAATTTTTACATCAACCAATTGCCTTGATATAATAAATAAGTAAATAGTAGAAAATAGGTCATCACAAAACGGAGGTGCCGGCGCGTGAACTCTCGTCTCAAATGAACCGAAACTCAGAGTATAGCTTAAGGTTGGCTACTGCCTCACAGACCTGATAAATATGTAGAAAGCGTGACATGTCTACTTTTAACAGAACAATTCAAAACGAAAGAAAACAGACTAGAGACTGCTCTCTTCTTATGTATCCTATGAAATGTGCATTTCTCTCTGGCGCGTTCACTACTGTGAAGATCAACATCGTCAACTCTTTATATTTGGAGGCGACACTAACAAAGACTTGTTTATTAATAAACAATTAAAATGTCTCCTTGCTATATTTAACATATTCATAATCATTACTTTTGCCGGTTCTTTATGGCAGCTTTTAGATAGGCTAATTTATTTGCAGCGCCACCCTTACATGTTACATGAACGCCTCACCACTGCATCAGTACTGAAAACATGTGTTTTTTTTTTATTTCAATCTTGAAGCGAACCGAATTGTAGGTTTGGTCTATCGTTACAGCCCTAGTAAGATGAGAAAGCGGGAGTTTAGTCGTTTGTCATGGTCGTAAAAAACAATGGATATCTGAAAATCTTTTAAGCGCAAACCAGGCAGAAGTAATCAATAAATTATTGGGGAGAGTCATGCCTTTTTTCACAGTCATTTTGGAGGGTCATAGGAAAAACTATAGTAACTATAGTTGGATGGATGCAGTGCTTTAAGTGTGCTGGTACGCGTCGGTACCCAGTACCTCCACTTCCAAATATAGCTCTTGAGCGTACCGCCACTTCTCCGTGCGCCCAGAATGTGCTTTTAGTGTACCGGTACGCTCATTTGCACATCTGTTTTAATCCTTTGGCTGCGCTGCCGCTTTTCAGAGCGCCCTTAAATGTACGCTTCCTAATTCGTCCAACCGAGAGCAGAGACTACATTACCCATACACCCTTGAGTTTTACAAGTGAAGAGAGCATGCGTTGCTTTTGCCTGTAGCTACTTTAACACTCACAATCGGAATGAAATCAATATGATTGATGAACCTGAACAATGTGTTTCATGAATGATAAATAAAGAAATCGGATTGATGTGCGCGTTTATATGTCACAAGTTTTAAATCGGATCTGATTTTTTGAGTTTCCGCGCTGTTCGCGCATAAATATTCTCCTCTGTTGGTTCTTTATTTGTTTTCAGCAGCAGACGTAATATTAATTCATCTCTGGTCATAATTTAGAGCATATTAACCGTTTTGCCGTACTGATCACGCAGTAAAAATGCCCCTCCCCGCGGCCAAAGTCTGGATGAGAATCCAAAACATGCACTGGTGGGAGGTTGTCCTGCTTCACTTCACATATGCGCGAGTAAAATGAGAATTTTAGAATGATGGGAAACTTATTAATATGACACTTTTTTCAACAGGAAAAACCATAGCCAGTAAAAAAACAACCAGGTCGTTCCGCTCGTCATCCATCATTGTGTTTATTTAGCGTCATTGCACATTCGCAGTCCTTTCAGTTTCATTTACATTTTACATAACATTTATTCATTTAGCTGACGCTTTTATCCAAAGCGACTTACAATTGCTGTATATGTCAGAGGTCGCACGCCTCTGGAGCAACTAGGGGTTAAGTGTCTTGCTCAGGGACACATTGGTGTCTCACAGTGGATTCGAACCCGGGACTCTCACATTAAAGGCATGTGTCTTAGCCACCCCATTTTCGGTTTTCAATACGATCAAGTGTTTATATGTTCTCGATAAGATTACAAAAGGGGTAAACCGCCTCTTTCAATCCGATCGAAATTTCATTCGGATTGAGCTCAATCGGATCGATTAACGTGAAGGTTTTTTAGTCCAATCTAGCCGTCAATCTGATTATATGTGTCAACCATGGTGTCAATTCAATGTGGTCCTAAGAGGGTGTGTGTGTGAAACGAGTAAAGAAATGAACCATAGCAAGACTCATGTTTTTGTTCTAATGTTCTATGGTTATTAGGGGTGTGACGAGATCACATGCCACGAGTTCTCGCGAGACAAAAACATGACGAGATTTCCCTTTGAGTGAAAAACTGTTTCGCGATATTGCCATGACTGATTGCGAGGGTGAGATTACAATAGAATATTCCATCCACCGCTACACTCTCACATTCACCTAAACTATCGTTTTGCTGTTTATATAAAAGAAAATAAAAACCATTATAAACGAATGTAAAAGTCTGCTCTGCTCATCCATTACGAGTTGCCATTGCAATCAGTGCAGCACGAATCACAGTTCACTGTTCGCGAGACAATGGCAGAGAATTCGTTGCACAACAGCAAAGTCTGATAAATGTCTTATCTTGTATAATGCACGCTCAGCACCGCTGCTCCTTATACACAGAGTACGCGCGGTCACTAATTTGAAAGTAAAACACAAGCTCCCTGATGTGCATTGCACACAAATTAGGCTTCATTGTCCGTCTCCCAATACCCATCTCTGGACTGTTTATTTGCGGCTATGGTCTCTGCACTTCGAATATTGAGAGAGTACTGTAATGTTTTAGGGACAACAGACAAGGGAGGCTGTTTCTGAACTTATAATTGGAACACAAGAAAAACAACATAGAGACAAACACACCAGCCTCGTTTCTCTCTAGTCTAATTTTCCCGAACTCGCCTCATTAACCCTATAACTGCTGGTGCAAAATAAAACAGCAATTTCAAAACAGTTATAAAGAGTCTGTGTGTTGACTTTGATTATGGTTGCACTTGCACTTATTGTTTGCACTTCAGACTTCAATGAGTTCAGTTAGGAGGTCACACACAGCCTCAATCAGATGTTCTGGAAGCTCTTAAATGTACAGTAAGGTCGGAAGAGGCTCATGTGAAATCAAACAGGAGAAAAGCCAGTCAATAAAAACCTTTTACAGTGCTTGTATATTGTTCCCATTCAGGGAACTTTGAGCTGCGTGTAAACGCCGTGGGAACGCCTCTGCGTGATGAGTCATGAAGCACGTATGAAATCTGTCCAATGGCGAGACGGAACGTCATAGGCGGGGTGACGTATCGACCAGGAAACTATAAAGCATCCCTGAAACACAAGCGCAACAGCTTCTGAGTCTTCACAAGCGCTCTATGTATGAACATTGTCTGTCTGTCTGAAAATATTGTCTATATATATTTATATATTAAGAAATGGCGAGCAAACAACAGCATTTCAGAAAGTGTGTTCATCCCTGCCCTCGCTACATCACGGGTGGGGATACACACGATCTGTGTGTTGCTTGTTTGGGAGTGCAGCATGCTCAGTCGGCTCTCGAGGGGGCTGGCTGTGAGCATTGCGAGTGTCTGCCCATGAAGACACTCCGCTCCCGCCGGGCACTCTTCGAGGAGAGTGGTTCGGTGGGCGCTCCCCGCGGCTCGGGTCCCGCTGCTGCCGAGGCACAGCGAAGGCTTGCGTCGTGGGGATCGCAGATGAATCTATCAGCGGGGATGGAGACGGGCTCTGCCCTTACCTGATAGATCCAGTGCCTCAGATCTCGGTGCGGGGGTCCGCGTTGCGGTTTCTCCTGCCCGGGCTGAGGCTCCATCACTTCAGCTATCCAGTTCTGAGGAGCTGGATGTTGAAAGTGTGGATGCGGAGTCTATGGACTCAGTGGAGATCGGGGACTCACCATCCCAGTCTCCTGCGAATGTAGAGCTGATGGAGGTTTTGACTCGGGCTGTTGAAAAATTAAGCATTGAGTGGCCAGTCGAGAAACAAGAGTCGAGAGTGAGAAGTAAAACAGATGAGAGATTTTTAGCGTCTCACTCGCTACCTCCACGCCGGTGTTTGCCCTTCTTTCCCGATCTACACACCGAGGTGTAGATCGTGGAACAGACCAGTGTCAGCTAAAATTTTGACACACCAAACATCTACCTACTCTAATATTGCTGGGTCTGGGTCTACTCTAATATTGCTGGGTCTGGTCTCTAATATTCTGGGTCTCATCTTTCTCCTGAGACGGCATCGTCTTTTAAAACACCGGCGTTGCCCACCAAGCCACTCAGAAATACTTCGGTCTTGGTGGGCAAAGCTTATTCAGCGGCGGGACAGGCAGCATCTTGCTTGCATACGATGGCCATTCTCCAGGCGTATCAAGCAGATCTGTTAAAGGATATGAGTGAGGGGGAGGTCGTCAGCTCTGACGTGATTAAAGAGCTGCGTCAGGCGGCAGATATTTCTCTCCGTGCCACCAAGGAGACGGCCAGATCAGTCGGCCGGTCTATGGCAGCCCTGGTGGCCACGGAGAGACATTTGTGGCTAAATTTGGCTAGTATGAAAGAGAGAGATAAAGCTTTTCTCCTGGATGCGCCGCTGTCTACCGAAGGTCTTTTTGGTGGTTCTGTTAACGCTGTGATTGAAAGATTCCAAGAAGGAAGAAAACAGGCAGCGGCGCTCCAGAAATGTCTCCCCCTCCGTACTCATCCTCCCGGGGCTGCTGGGCGGGAGCAGCCCCGCCCGTCGGGTACCTCGGCACATAGGGCGCAGCAGAAGAAGAGCGTCGCGTCTCGAGCTCCTCCCCAGCAGAACTGGGCCGAGACGCGGCGTTCTCAGGCGAGGTCTTCCCGGGACAGAACCGATCTGAGGACGGTTATTGTCGCCAGGAAGGCCTCGTCGAAGAAGCCCTGACGCCACTGGCGTCAGGCTGCTGAGGGTGGTCCCCACCGTGAGACAGAGGTGTTCGCCACTGAATCCGGCGCCCGCTCTCTCTCGGTGCCCTCAGAGGTCCGTTCTGCCAACCCTGCCTGTAAAGGGGGGTGCAGACGGTCCCAGCGAGCGATTTCCCGAGGGACGCTCGTTTGCTCCGAGGAGCGATACAGAACGGTCGTTAAACCCTGCCTGTGCGCGGTCACAGGGCGCTGTTTTTGTTTTAAAAACTACTCCAGAAGCCAGTCTCGAGAGACTGGTACCCTTAGTAGAATTTCTGGCAGAATGGGAAAGTCTTCCAAATATATCTCGTTGGGTCCTGCAGACTATCGAACGCGGGTACGCGATCCAGTTCTGGTCGCGTCCACCTCGTTTTCGGGGGATTTTGCCCACAGTGGTGACCCCCGAGCAGGCTCTGGTTATGGAACAAGAGGTGGAAGCTCTGTTACTGAAGGGGGCGATAGAACGAGTTCTTCCTCCCGACAGAGCTGGGGTATTACAGCCGGTACTTCATTGTTCCAAAGAAGGATGGGGGGCTGCGTCCGATTTTAGACCTGCACCTCTTAAATCGGTCGGTAGGGAAGCTCAAGTTCAAAATGCTAACTCTCAAGCAGATCGTGTCATAGATCAGGTCCGAGGACTGGTTTGTCACGATAGACCTGAAAGATGCTTACTTCCATATCTCCATCCTTCCGCAACATCGGAAGTTCCTGAGGTTCGCTTTTGGGGGCGAAGCATACCAATATCGGGTTCTTCCATTTGGCCTAGCATTATCTTCTCGAACCTTCACGAAATGCATTGGGGTGAACCTTGGCCCCGCTGCGTCTCCAGGGCATTCGCATTGTAAATTACATCGACGATTGGTTGATTCTGGCTCAATCGGAGCATCAGGCGATTCGGCATCGAGATGCCGTCCTCGCCCACATCAGAAGGTTGGGGTTGAGACTCAACGCCAAGAAGAGTGTGCTTTCGCCAGCTCAGCGTACCACTTTTCTAGGCGTGGTATGGGATTCGACGACGATGCAGGCACGTCTGTCGCCGGCTCGTATAGCCTCGATTATCTCAACTGTCAAGCAAGTGAAGCTAGGCCAGTCACTCACTGTAAAGGAATTTCAAAGAATTCTGGGTCTGATGGCAGCAGCATCCAACGTGTTACCGTGCGGCCTGCTGTACATGAGACCGCTACAGTGGTGGCTCAGGACCAAGGGGTTCTCCCCGAGGGGAAACCCGCTCTGCAAGATCAAGGTCACGCGACGTGGTCTCCGTGCCCTGGCTATGTGGAAAGAACCTTGGTTCCTGTCCCTGGGACCTGCGCTGGGAGCCCCGTGTCACCGGGTAACGGTGACGACGGATGCCTCTCTCACGGGTTGGGGAGCGATCATGAGTGGTCGCTCGGCCCGCGGGCTGTGGCAAGACCATCATCTCCTGTGGCATATAAATTGTCTAGAGATGATGGCGGTGTTTCAGGCTCTGAAACATTTTCTCCCAGACCTCAGAGATCATCATGTTCTTGTCCGGTCAGACAACATGTCAGTGGTCTCTTACATAAACCACCAGGGGGGTCTGCGCTCACGTCCATTGTACAAGCTGGTGCGCCAGATCCTGTTGTGGTCCCAGGGGAAACTTCGGTCGCTGAGAGCGATTTATACCCCAGGATACTTAAATCAGGGAGCGGACATCCTGTCGAGGCAGGGGCCGAGGCCCGGGGAGTGGAGACTTCACCCCGAGGTGGTGGAGCTCCTTTGGAGGCACTTCGGTCGTGCCGAAGTGGACCTCTTTGCATCCAGGGAGAATTCACACTGCCCGCTGTGGTTTTCCCTGAGCCCTCCAGCTCCATTGGGGCTGGATGTGTTGGTACAGGAGTGGCCGAGGGCACCCCTGTACGCATTTCCCCCGATTGCTCTGCTCCCAGGGGTTCTGGAAAGGATTCGCCAGGAAGGGGTCAGTGAACTTCTGGTGGCCCCTTATTGGCCGACCAGGGTATGGTTTGCGGACCTGATTTCCCTTCTCGAGGGTCCTCCTCTGGAGATTCCGGTCAGGAGGGACCTTCTGTCTCAAGCAGACGGGGGGTTACTTCACCCCCGCCCGGAACTGTGGAGGCTGTGGGCTTGGCCTCTGAGGGGGCCCAGCTCATAGGTTCAGGTCTCTCGACTGAGGTCGTGGAGACCATCCTCCAGTCCAGAGCCCCGTCCACGAGGAAGTTGTATGCCTTGAGGTGGAAATTGTTCACCTCTTGGTGTGGAGAGCGAGAGTTGGACCCAGTTAACTGCCCATTGCCGGCAGTGCTGGAATTCCTTCAGGAACGCTTCTCCACAGGGTTATCCTACTCCACACTGAAGGTGTACGTGGCGGCCCTATCCGCCCACCATCCCTTTGAGTGGAGCTTCTCTCGGGAGACATCCCCTGGTAACTCGTTTCCTTCGTGGTATCCTGAGGCTGAGGCCGGTAGTGCGTACGAGGGTACCGACCTGGGATCTAGCGGTTGTGTTGGAGGGGCTCTGTTTAGCCCCTCTCGAGCCCATTGAAGAGGTGCCTGAGAAATTTGTCACTCTCAAGACTATCTTTCTCCTAGCCATTTCTTCCCTAAAGAGAATTGGAGATATTCAGGCGCTGTCGGTTTCCCCCTCGTGCTTGGAATTTGCTCCCGGTATGGCGAAGGCTTTCATCCTCCCTAGACCGGGGTATGTTCCTAAGGTTCCAACTATGGTTGTCAGACCTATAGTGCAACAGGCCTTCTGTCCTCCTCCGTTTCTGACACCAGACCAGGAGAAACTAAATCTGCTCTGCCCGGTGAGGGCCTTAGACGCTTATGTCCACAGAGCTGCCCTGTGGAGGAAGTCGGAACAATTATTTGTCTGCTTTGGGCCTCCTAATAGAGGTTCTGCGGCGTCTAAGCAGAGGATGAGTAAGTGGGTGGTCGAGGCCATCTCACTTGCTTATGAGTCCTCCGGTCAGCCTTCTCCCTTGGCTGTCCGGGCTCATTCAACCCGGAGTATGGCTGCCTCTAAGGCATTGTTATCAGGAGTTCCTTTGAGTGACATCTGTGATGCGGCAGGATGGTCTTCACCGCACACATTTGTAAAGTTTTACCATCTGGACTTCAGCTCCACTCCAGGGGCGCAGGTGCTTTCGTCAGAATGTGCACTCTGATCTTCATACAACGGACACCTGCTCGCATGGCGGCGTTGGTATTAGCGTTCCCACGGCGTTTACACGCAGCTCGAAGTTCCCTGAATGGGAACGTCTCTGGTTACGTATGTAACCTTAGTTCCCTGAAGGGAACGAGACGCTGCGTGTCCATGCCATACTCCCAGCATGCCCGTGAGCGCTTGCTTTAGTCCTATCAGAAGCTGTTGCGCTTGTGTTTCAGGGATGCTTTATAGTTTCCTGGTCGATACGTCACCCCGCCTATGACGTTCTGTCTCGCCATTGGACAGATTTCATACGTGCTTCATGACTCATCACGCAGAGGCGTTCCCACGGCGTTTACACGCAGCATCTTGTTCCCTTCAGGGAACTAAGGTTACATACGTAACCAGAGACGTTTTCTTTCAATGCATTTGATAATTCCTACTCATAAAGTAGACCTGAAATGATATGCATTAGTGCATTATTAGTTAAAAGATTGCAAAATGCACCTGCATACTATTTTTCCAGTCATGAATTTCATCATTGAGGATTTCTGAAAAATTGTGCAAAATTCTCGTCTCGTTCTCGTGAACCCAATCTCATGTCTCTTCTCGTCTCGTGAGATAAGTGTCTCGTCACATCCCTCTTTGTTTATTATATTTTATGTACATGTACATGTGTGTGTACATTTGTTCAAAATGTTTTCAATACCCTTTTGCACATTTTATTTATTTTGTTTAGTAGCTCATTCTAGCTCAAGAAAATCCACAATTAAATTATTTTTTACAACAGACGATATATAACAGTTGATTGTTGAATATAAAACCCTTCAATATATTTGTTGTTACCTCAGGGGAGGAGGGGAGTCAGCAAAATAAATAAATAAATAAATAAATAAATAAAATAAAAATAATAAAATAATAAATAATAATAATAGAGTACCGGTACCTCTTTTGGGCCACTTAAAGCACTGGATGGATGAACATGTTTAGTTGCATGATTTATTTTTCATAATGAATGAATTTATGCCTCCTTGTGTCAGCCTGTGTAACTGTGTTACTGGAGTGAGTTTCATAAATCCCCTTACACAGTCAAGTTCAATCACACACACCACTGTGGACAAATAATACAACCCTATAATGTAATGTAAACACACAAAATACCTTTTATTAGATGATGGTGTTTTCTCACTGAAGTTTGGTAAATTCCCACCTTTAGACTGATCACTCTTCAGAGACACAGAGCTGGACACATGTGAGCCTGATCTTACACTGATGACACAAAGAACACAGAGAGAGAGAAAACACTTTAGTAAAGGAGGATCAACTGTCTGAAACACATCTGTGTCTTTATCTAATCCTCCACAGAACCCCCCCCCCCCCCCCCCCCCACCAACTCCCATCACACACACACACACACACACAATTTACAGTTTTATAGTTAACCATCGTTTTATTTTACTGGCTCACATTAGTTTAACAATTTCTTTAATATACATGAGTGAGATTAAATATGTTGAGAATTTAAAAGATACTTGACCATAATTTAAGAGAACAAGTTTTTATTTATTGACAGAATAGAAAACAAAAATGTCTGTGCGACACAGTTTTGTTAGCATACTTGAATTAAATTAAGTGTATAGTTGTTTTCTAATGTATGTCAATACTTTTATAATCGAAACGCTAAAGTCATTTATTTGGTTTAATTCCGCTAATAAATTAATTAACGAAATTATTATATTTTCTATAGAGCAATGGCAGAGTTACTTTAAGATTTGCAAATATAGAGCAATGCTTAAAGTTGTGTTATTGACAGGGAAACACAAAGTCCTGTGGAGTTTAAAGTGAGAGTGTGAAAACAGACGCAGTCTCACCTGTGTTTCTCTGAGAGACTCATCTGAGAGAGAGAGTCCTTTCCTCTTTCCTCTGACATACTGCAGCTAAACTGACCCTGAAAACTGATCAGAAAACACTCAATCCTTCAGCATCACCTGCAAATCACAACATTTACACACATCAACAACATCTTATTGAAGAATAAAGAGTTAACATCAACAACAGCAACAGCAAAAACAATCTATCAAATAAAGTTACAAACAAATATATTGCCATGTAAAATAGCCGAATGGTCTTAATCATTTCTGATTGTTTAATGAGTTTAACTGACTCTAAATATGAATTCATTGGGGAACAGAAATGTACACTGTGCTGGGAAAACTGAACCCAATTTGATATATTCTCGATTACAGTATAATATCATTTTATAATCATATTTACCCAATCTTTATAAATTGTTGAATCGTTTGCCATTCAATCATTAGTTCAAGTTCACAATGACTGATTAAGTAAAAGTAACCTAAATTATAAGAGACGTACTGTAATACTACTAATCATAATTGCAATACGAACTGAAATATTGAGTTTAATAACAGCAGATTGTTGTTGATTGACGTTAGGCTTCATCTGTAAATGTCTGCTTCAAAAATACTTTCGATTTCACATAAAAAAAAACAACAGCTTAACACGGAAGAGGAAATGGGAGAAAACTTTTTAGAAACATATTTGTGTTGAACAAACGTTTTTCAATAAAACTTATTGTGTTTTTACTTCAAAAGATTGTAATTTCTGTCAGATTCTTCTTCTGCTTCAGCCTTCTGTAAATCTCGCTTAATATACAATATGAAGTTCCTAATAATAAATAATGACTGTAATGGAGAATGTAATACACTTACTTGCAGTCTTGTCCTCTAAGAAGAGAATTTATCAGTATTTTAAACTCAGTAACGCTTGTTGTCAGTCCGCGCGCGTCGTTCTCAGAATCTCTTGCTGGTCTCGAATCGAAGGATTGTGGATTAAACACATAAATGTCCGCGAGTGTAGTACATCTGAAGCTTGCTTCAAACTCGAACGGTCCTTGCAATGAACATAGAAGTAATTACGTATGTAGCAGTATGCATTTACGCTCCTTATTAACACACGGCTGGAGGGCGATTTAACGTTAGTGATGGGGACTTTAAATATGGCTTGTGCACGTCAGCTGGGAAGGCATCATATGTGACGTCATGTCCTTGTTGTCATTCCGGCTCGATGGGCAAGTGCTAGAGAGGTAAGAGCTGCAGGCCAGCGACACGTTTGTTAATGATTCTTGTGGGACGGGGTGATGTATAGATTCTTTTTTTGTAGTGGACGGGGAAATTAACCGGTATGCACTCGGCTGCGCTCCTGGTTGTGTAAAACTTCGGTGTGGGGATGAATTCCGCGATGTGTTAATACAGTGCTGTTGCAGGTATGTTTGCAACCTCCCATATCTACTGTCTTATTTTGACCTCAAGTTCGCCTGGTGAGTTTCTTCTTTTCTTTCTCGTTTGATTTAGGTGTCTTCCATATGCCTGTATGACGTAATGGTGGGTTGTTTGTTGCTGCGGTCAGCTGCTTGCGAGACGCTGGAAATCGAGATCCAGACCTAACATAAACTTGCTGTTCCAACATAAACTCGCTGTTAAATTACAAATTAATGCTGTGACTGCTCTTTTTGGCTTGCGTTAATAGATACAGCATTGACTGTGTTACGCAAGTTAGTCTGAACGGCTCCACGACGTCACCCGAACTCGATATCAGTAACGGTGGATGGTGGATGCTTTTCTTGTCTTGAGTTTGACGTTAAGTTACATCTTTCGTAACGAACGCTGTTTGGCGGGACCTCTTGATGCTCATTGCTCCGTCACCACTGTTTATTGTAGCTTTATGATTTAAGTTTTCATGTATGCTGGCTTTGTTTATTTTTAGGTTATGTGAATGTCCATTGGTGTTTTTTTGTTTTGGTAACTCAAGTGCATCCCTCGTGGCCTCCATACGATGCACACAAGTACCTGGTCTGTATGTGTTTGACTTGTTCCAGAGGTGTTCACTCACTTGATTCTTACAGAATACCTTGCATATTTGGTGAATATCGGTGGTGATATAATGTTTGTCATCATACTATGCTGAGATGAACACTGTGCATTTGGACCCAAAACTTGTGGTTGTGTAACTTTTTTTTATTTTTATTTTTTTTGTATTCATTGTGTAAATTGTGTATAATTGTGGTGTCTGAGTTTTGTGTTTGTTCTTTATTATAGGCCTGGGCGACAAGGAAAAGAAGGGGCGGCAGCTCTCCTGGTCTTGGTGGTGGTGTCTTTGGAGTGCTTGCTGTGCCACACAGAGGTGTTTGACAGTGCAGTGTGAGTGCACGAGTGTGTGTGGTTTTCTTTGTTTTTCTTCTCAGGAGAATAGAGAGGCCCTTATGGGTTGAGTGTTTCCGGCTGTCGACCCCGATTTCCGTCGTCCGGGCTGCTTAACGTCAAATATCCTTGTGACTGTCGCTTTTGTGATTACTTGAACTATTTTAAATAATAAAATTGATTTTATTGTTTGTACACTTCACCCATGTCTCATGCCTGACTCCAACTGAAACGAACCTGTGAGCCTTGTGTGCTCTTAACTATCTTGGGTGAGTCCCTGGTATTAAGCCTCCAGGGTGGCGTAGTTGGTCCATTTCTTTAGTGTGTCTGCATCGGGCGCCACACGTAGAAGAAAACGTCACGGGTTTCCTGTGATGAATGAAACACTCTACTACGGCCAGGCGGCACAATTTGCAGCAGATGTGTGTAACGTTAGTTGTATTGTGTTTAACATTTCACAGCGGGTCTATTATTTTGATGTTTTTAAATGTAACTTACTTGCGCTATGTATGGATTAAACACATAAATGTCCGTGAGTGTTCTTAGATTTGGTAGGCATTGTGCTAAATTGACATCTATATGAACCATAGGTGAGCGACAGGTTTAGTTGTCTTCCCTGCTGAAAAATCCAGCTAAAACCAGCCTAGGCTGGTTGGCTGGTCTTAGCTGGTTTAAGCTGGAAGTAGCTGGTTTTAGTTGGTTACCCAGCCTGGCTTAGCTGGTCAAGCTGGTCTCCCAGCCTGACTTAGCTGGTTAAGCTGGTCTCCCAGCCTGGCTACCAACTTGACCAGCTAAGACCAGCCTGACCAGCTGAAAAAGTGTTCAAAACCCCTCTAAAACCAGCCTGATAAACCAACTAACCAGGCTGGGAGACCAGCCAAAACCAGCCAACCAGCCTTGGCTGGTTTTAGCTGGATTTTTTCAGCAGGGTTGTCAGCAGTTGTTACTTTCGTTTTCGTTTTCTTCTTCTTTGGTGTATTGGCGGTTGGCAACCTATCTTATTGGTTCATTACCGCCACCAACTGGAATGGAATATGGATCAAGCATGGGATCAAGCTATATACTTTAATACAAAATATAAATAAAACATAAAAACCAAGCAAAACAAATAAACAAACTGAAAAATAAACCATAACAAATTAACACACACACACACAAAAAAAAAAAAAAACAGAACAAAAAAATGCTATATTCCATTATATAAATTACTTTCTTTCACATATAATAATTTCAACATATACACCTTACTATCTGTTTCCCTTAATAGACCTGATAAAGTAAAGTCATGATGTTTTACTTTATTTATTGATTGAATAAGATAACATCTCTCATTATCTTTCCTACAGGGTGATTCTCCAACTATGGTACTTTTTAGACCTGGACATTTTCAGAAAATGAAACATTTTTAATTAAAATATTACTGGCATAATTTGTTTCCCCAGTATGCCTAGTTACCTGCCCTGAAGTTGGCTGTGCTGATTTTTATGAAATAATATGTTTTTTGATGTTTTTTTCAGACATCGCAAAATAAATTGTCATTTCCACAACCGAACAAAAACATGTGTTTTCAACCAAATATGTTGAAATATTTGTAGTTATAAATATATTGGGTTACACATCACACTTGCATGTTTCCAAATTGTAAATTCATTTATTTCTCTGAAATGAAACGGTTAAGATTTTACAAAGTTAACAACAAGAAAACGCTGAACACTAAGCCACTGAAACCTTTCATTCATATTTCTGAATTGTATTATATTTTCAAATCTGATATTTTTCAACTCATATACATATACTGTACCCTTAACTGCTAAATAATCAACACCACCACCATCATTACCTTATTTTTTATTTTTTTTATGTTTTACCAAAAAATATCTGTGGTTGTGGAAATGACAAGGGAAAGGCGGGTTATGGTAAAAATAACATTTCAGATATAGAACCTGTAGTAGAATCATAAATGCATTATGGAAATGCAAAAGTGAGTCATGACCTCAATGTGTATGACAAAATGAATCACAAATTCAAGTTTGAAGTTTATTCGTATTTTAATTTCAAACAGGGATAGTGTATTGATGAACAACTGGCCTAACAGCACTTAATAAAAAAGATAACTCATTCCGGCTTGATAAAAATGATCATTTTAGAAGAAAATTTCAAATGGCACTTAGAGGCTTTTGCATCTGAACTCTTCAAATACAAAATACTGTGTGGAAAAATGTATTTAAATACAAATACAGTATTTTGTATTTTGAAAATACAGAAAATACATGTGAAATTGGCAATTCAGTGCAGGCATATTAGGCTGAAATCTATCTGGGCCTATTCTGAATGCCAACAATTATTTAGATGTGTGCAACTACTTAGAAACATTCGTTTTCATTTTATATACCTCTTCCCTTCCCCAGCCCTGTAGGAAATACAAAACTTTTAACATCTTTTATTATGTTTTATCACCACCATTACCTCGCACTCAGGAACAAGAACTCAATAACACAAAGTCAATTATATTTTAAATAACTGATGGTGTACTCCTCCAGGTGGTGTACCTGTGTTTCAGACATCTATCTATTCGATTCCCTTTAGCACCACCAGCTTTTCAAAAAGTTTGGGTTTAAGAAGTCGTCTGTGTGGCCTATTGATTAAACGGTAACACTTTATTTGAAGGGGTGTGCATAAGACTGAAATGACACTGTCATAAACATGACACTTTTAATGCAAAGTTGACATTGTTTAAAATGTCTTTGTTATGAAAACTTGACATTAACCAAGAAATCATAACCTGTCACAAATGTCATAACAGGTCTAATTATCAAACTTAAAGAAGTTATTTAGCTTTGCGTTAACATTACATTACTGTCATATGTGGTTGGTTTTGACTTTGGCCGTCATGACACCATTATAACTGTGACATGAATATTTTACTTGTCCTCAAGTAAAGTGGAACACATTGTACTAGTTATAAAGATGTCATTAAGGGTTATTACTGTCAAATGTTTTAACAACAGTGTCATTAATATTTCCCCTTACCTCAAGTAAAGTGGAACACGTTGGACTAGGTATAAACATGGCAGGTTGACAGGTTATGATTTCTTGGTTAATGTCAAGTTGTCATAACAAAGACATTTCTGTCTTTGTTATTGTCAAGTTGTCATAATCAAGACATTTTTTGTCGTCCGGTGTCATGGCGGCAGTATAGTATAACTCGGCGTCCACCTCCCCTCAAATTTGAAATAATTTAATGTCTGTGTGGTCATTTTTTCCACTTCTCTTCCTTCCCCTTTATATCTGATCGTCAACTTTAAAAAAAAAGAGAGAGAGAGAGGGGGGGGGGGGGGGGGGGGGAAGTATAGTCGGGACTAAATGCGAAAAACAACACTGCTGGGCAGAGAAGCGCGATGGATGAACTTCACGGAGAGCTCGGTGAGCAAAATGCAGCTCTGGTGAAAGTAATGGAGGTGACCATGGCGAAATACTTTAAAGAGGCTGACGAGAAATCAGAAGCTCGCTTCAATAGACTTGAGAAACGAATTGATAATATGCACGCAACTCTCTCGCGGCACACGGAAGAGATAAAGAGCATTCACACTGAATCGGTGAACCTCCGGGAACGTGACCGCGGAACGTGTGGCTAATGTGGAAAAATCGGCTGCCCTAAGTTTGAAGAATTTACAAACTTATGAAGCTAAACTAACTGGGATGGAAGACAGGGCACGCCGGGATAATTTGCTCGTATTTAATCTCAAGGAAAGAGTTGAAGGGGCGAATGCTCGCGCCTACCTGATGGATAAGATCTTGGAATCAGTGATGCGCGGGTCAATGTATAAACAAACCGCAACCGACCGACGTTTTCAACTACCCGCCCGCAACTCGGACCGCAAAAAAAAAAAGTAAAAAAATATTGTACCCGACCCGCTTCCTGACCGCATTTTTTAAAAGTAGTAAATGCTCATCGGAGCGTTATTGGGCCATAGACGTGTAACAACACAGCATCGCAAGAAGACGTAGGCCTGGCCTATACACATAAAGACAAAGCCAGCACTTTGGTCATTATATTTCATTATTTCAGCAAATGTCTCCCACACTTTTACTCTTTCTATTTGCGGAGCTTCCACTCCCCAGTCTTCACCTGTTCTCTTGCCGCCTCCATCTCTGCAGACTGTAGTGATCATAGACATGGCCGGTTCGTGAACGAATCGTTCTTTTGAACCGGTTCTTTTTAGTGAACCGGTCGAACCTACACTAAATCGAACTGAATCGTTCGAAACAGTTTGCGTCTTGCGTCAGTGCTGCTCCACAAGTTAGTTACTTACTTTCAGACATGCCTGCCCAGCCAGCAATGACATGTGGGGCCCAGATGGGTTAAGTAGGGGTTCCATGGTTACTGTGTGGGCATGGGCTTTGGCTGGGTGAAATCAGCGGGTCCCATGTAGGTTTTGTAGTATGAGTCCCACATAGGAAGCCCATATGAGCTGATTACATGGGTCCCGTAAGGGACAGGTATGGGCCAAGTGGGCATGGGTTTGAACTAAGAACACATATATGGGTCCTGCATAGAATATTTATGGGCCAAGTGGGCATGGGTTTGATCTGGGAACACATATATGGGTCTTGAATGGCATATTTATGGTCCAAGTGGGCATGGGTTTGAACTGGGAACACATGTATGGGTCATGCATGGTACATTTATGGGCCAAGTGGGCATGGTTTTGATCTGGGAACACATATATGGGTCCTACATATAACTTGTATGGGCCAAGTGGGCATGGGTTTGAACTGGGAACACATGTATGGGTCATGCATGGTACATTTATGGGCCAAGTGGGCATGGTTTTGATCTGGGAACACATATATGGGTCCTACATATATTTTCTATGGGCCAAGTGGGCATGGGTTTGAACTGGGAACACATATATGGGTCCAGTATATCATTGATATGGGCTAAGTGGCCATGGGTTTGAACTGGGAACACATATATGGGTCCTGCATGGTACATTTATGGGTCAAGTGGGCATGGGTTTGATCTGGGAACACATATATGGGTCCTACATATAACTTGTATGGGCCAAGTGGGCATGGGTTTGAACTGGGAACATATATATGGGTCCTACATATATTTTCTATGGGCCAAGTAGGCATGGGTCTGATCTGGGAACACATATATGGGTCCTTCATGGAATTTTTATGGGCCAAGTGGCCATGGGTCTGAACTGGGAACACATAT